TAACCAGTTTCAGTCAATACGAAAGTAGAAATCCTGAATATGACAAGAAACTCAGGAAGAATTTGGACCTTGAGTGAAATTGCATACCGTGTTTATGACAAGAAGCTCGAAAAACCATACCCTGTTCAGCGGATCATCCCCGTATAGTTCATATATGGGAGTACCCCCCCCCCTCCCCCCGGGTATTCTATTAATGTAGTCGACTCTTAATCTCAATAAATCAATATCCACTACATCCTGGAGCTCATTGATAGCATCAATTACACTTCGCAGCGAAAGCTGCGCCATTTTGAATTTCAAATTCGAATAAAATTTACACAACTACTACCCCCATGGAATAATTTTAGCTGTACAGCCGGGTTACCTGTGGATTGTTACGTCATACTGACACTCGACACTTTTTGGCGGTCGTGGTACGCACAATGATACTCAACTTTCAAGATGACTGAATTTGATTTGAAACAGTGATGTTGAAGGACGAGGCTTTGAAAGTTGTTTGGAAAACTTGAATGTTGATGCATGAAGTTGAGCATTGGAGGACGAAGTTTTAAAAGTTACAGGCAAAACTTGAATGTTGATGCATGAAGTTGACTGTTTCATGTCAACATTGAATTTTGGCGGGATTGGAACGCCATAATTCCGAAAGTCCGAGAAATCCTGGTCTCAAAAAATGGATTATGCCAGAGCCCTCGTTCTTCGCCGCAGGCCAGAAGAAACACAGGCTCTGGGTACGAGATTGTGTCGTGAGCTATCATTTTGCGCACGCGCACAAAATCTTTTCACTTAAATCTAACAACCTGTCGTCGTCAAGTATTTCAATTAACTTGTGTATATTTTCATGTCAGATATACGGGACCCGTTTCATCGCCTCTACCTTCACTCGAAGCTCTTCCACAGGACACGCTTCGAATCACAAACCTTGTTCAAAATATGAAGACAAATATCCAAACAATGAAGAAATACACCATTAAATATATGGGAGGAGAGGGTAGTGCTTTTAGCGGAGGTACGTATTTATGGTTTTGACCGTTGCAGCAGTTTTCCCAGTGCAATTACAGTCAAACTAAGAAAACCATGTTCGTGACAGTTAATTACAAATAAATCATTCTCTTATTTAATTGGTCAACACGATGTTTGACATTCCACACATTTTAGTGTTTAACGGTTTTCTTAGTCTCCCTCGCATCCGTTTTTAGTGTTGGTCGTCACGCGGGAGCGTTGCGTGACGACCGACACTAAGAATGGATGCGAGGGAGACTACGGTTTTCTTAGTTTGACTGTAAAATCTTCTCCCACAAACAACTACACAGTATTTGTTTTAAAGATTACTACGAGGATTACGAGACATCTGTTTAATTTTTTTAAGGAAAGTAAACAATAGATTAAATGCTGAGGTATTCTAGATAATTTGTTGTCATAGTAATAGTAATATTTTATGCGAATAAGAAAGAAACTTATTTACACACCGTGTAAGATCGTTTGAAAGTGTACTGATTTTTGGATGTTCGTCCTTCGTCGGAGATCTTGGTCGGTTTTTGGTTTAATCCGTTTTGAAACTGTGGTAATACGATAGACATTTTCAAAATGATACAATTTGGCGCGCAAAATAATTATTGCATTCTGGGCTGCACCGTGTCATGCTTCTCATATCGTATCATTACTCTTGTATTGTTTCGCAACAATGTCTTATGCCCTGGCTAAACGAGGAAACAAGTTTCCAGAAACATGTTTCCCGCGCGCATGTTCCCCGATGATTCCAAGTTTAGCCACATGCGAAACATTGCTACGTGCAACAAACTTTGCTTCCAAGACGCAAAAATGTTTCTGCTGTGCGGCAGAAACATCTCATGCTTCCAAGACGCATTGAAACAATGTTTCCCAATGTTTCCTCGTTTAGCCACGAAAGTCAACATTCTAAAAGTTCCGTTACTTAGCAACGCAAGCTCTATCTTGAAAGTTCGCAATCGCTAACCGATATTGAGCAAACATGCTTCCATATGTTTCCTGACAGTTTCGCCACCTTTGGAAACATTTAAGAAAACATGTTTCTGGAAACATGTTTCCTCGTTTTGCCACGGCCTTATTAAGCGATTAGTATCATTCAACTTCCAATCCCATAGTGCTGCAAGACAAGTTTATTTTCAGTAACACTGGGACTTCAAGAACCTATTTTTATTCTTGTTCGACAGATTCTAATGTTATTACTGGAAGTGGGGACTGTGACGATGAAGACGAGTCCTGTACCAGCGGTGAAAGTGGCGATGGAACAAACGGAGCAGATAACGGTAGTAAGTATATCTCCAGTTTCAAGTTTTCTCAGTCTACCTTTGGGTTAGCTGTTTTCTAGTTTTGAAGGTCTATGTCGAGCTTCAAGATATTTGTATTATCGGTGCTGGCCTTGATTCACATTACAGTCGGTGACTTACGCAGGCGCTATTAGGGTCGTCACGCGAGCGTTGCGCGACGACACTTATAGCGTCTGCTTAGAAGACTACTGATTTATGATAATTTTGATACACGATATTTTGTTCACTCACGATGAATTTTTTGCGCACAACACATTGTAAAAGTAGATCTCGATTCTGAACATGTAGCGTTTGGCGTAACAGCCGTTGGAGGGCTTAACATACGGCGCAACATTTGCACCGTGCCGTGTCAGCGTCAAGAATAATCCTGATCAAGAGAAAGTGAACTAAAAGAAGGAATCCTGTGCCTCATCATGAGCATGATGCTATTTTTAGAATCATTCATTTGATCGTTTGTTTACCCCCTTTACCTGTTGCGCGCTTTCAACCCTTTTTGCTCATGTTTTCTTGTGTTTCACAAAACAACACAAGCAAGCAGCGCAGTATCTATATAGGCGCGCAGAAAAATAAGTGATGGCAAATGATGGTTACAAGCATGAATGACAGAGATTCATTTTCTCTTGTCCTGATTGATACAAATGTTTCTATCGCACGTTCGTTCAACATATTTGACTCTTCTGAATTATTTTCAGTTAAAGGGGATACAAACACAGATTTCTATCTAATCTCGACCACACCCAACCCTAATGAAGTAAACGTACTTGGTGGTGGACAATCTAATGTGAAGGGTTCAGGGAAAAGTGGCGGAACAAGTGTCATCGTTTCTTCGACGCTAAATCTGCTCTTGTTGATGTCTGTATTCGTTTTTCTTTGAACCACGGGAATATTTGTAGCCTTAATGACCTCAAGAAAAACATAATGAACCGAATATAATGGAAAACATAATGAAGATATTAAAATTAAATGGCTCTTGTTCTGGAGACTTCAAGAAGGTTCAAAAAAGCAGAAGCAAGCAAAGTGCATGAAAAAGCGGTACCTTAACCGATGACCAAATAGCCATTAACAATTCCCCCTAGAGGGTCGTAGTGGAATACACTTTTTGATCATCAAATGACGTCGAATCGCAATGGATCAAGGTGTTTATGCTATTTCTGTCGACAAGGAAAGTCCGGGATTCCTGTGTATACTTTAATGGAGCTCATTAATTGGGTTACCTTTGGAAATCCACAGGTAGACCAACAACACTATTCTGAAGCATTTTTCAATGGAAATTATCAACAACGTCTTGTTACTATTCGTTTTAAACTCCTATTCAGGAAACACTAGTGCAGGAAATCTACAAATATAATCCTTTGAGCCTGTATTCCACATGGTCAGCAACTGATGCTGCTTACCACGAAGATCTTTCCTGGGATCAAGTGAAACGCCCGCTTAGTAAAACCAGCTTTATCTTTTAACCGACCCTTTATCATGGTTCTCATCTACCGCAAACTTCAATGTTCATAGACTAGTTTTTATTTGATATAGAATTATTTTGTTATATTTTACGTAGAGTAGTATACGGCTAATCAGAACAAGGTTAGATCGTCTTGCATGCAGACAGCACACAGTTTAAGACCCCAGTACATTGTATATAGATATTTGGTCCCTAATATCACGAGGAAACCATTGCTTTAAACTTAATCTTGAGCACTCAAACAGAATTTTACTCAGTGCTTTGTTTAAAGATTTATTCAAGATTGTAGTAAATGTACAACGTATTCTAGTATTGGATTGTACAATTAAAGGGAAAAGACTAGTAACGATCTAGACACGCAAGGAGTTGTGGGATTAGAATCAATCCCATAATCCCATGAGGGGCATGCGAGTTTTTCGTAGTCTCTCTAAAGGTCTTATAGCAAGAGAATCTTTCCAATGTACAATAGTATTGCCTAGGTGCAGTTTTTAGGGGCTTGTACATAGGCGTATGTATGAAAACACTGTCAGACAGTGACATATAACCAATAAAAATGCAACTTCTTATACAAATAGTTTTCAGAATACTAGGAAAAAAGTTCGAATTATGCTTATGAAATGTTTATAGTTGAAAATGAAGCATACTGGATCTTAATCGCCAACCTCTGGAGGATTCGCGTCGATATCCCTTCAAGCAATGTATCATCGGATACCGGAAAACTAGCAATCCCAAAGTGCATTGCGCGTAGTTTTACAGTACCAAACCCATGATGCATTGCGCATGGTTTTGCCGTGCAAATCCCATGATGCATTGCCCATGGCTTTGGCGTGCAAATCCCATGATGCTTTGCGCATGGCTTTGGAGTGCAAATCCCATGATGCATTGCGCATGGTTTTGGAGTGCAAATCCCAGGATGCATTGCGCATGGTTCTGTTGTGCAAATCCTATGATGCATTG